AGTGGGAAGGAGACAGCTAGTGGTCGCCTGGGAGGGGAGGCGGGGGCAGTCCCCGGAAATACTCTCTACCCTCTGTCACCGGGACTTGGCGAAGTATCCTCTGCGGTGGAGAGGTACGCGCCCCTTTCCCACCCCTCCCGGCCCGCGGCCGGCCACGCCCACCAGGGTCCTGGCTCCCCGAGCTGCGAGTGGTGCTCGGCGTGGGTGGCACTGTCGCGGGGTCACCGAGGCTCTTCCGGGGCTCTTCGGGGCTGGGGAGTCGCTGCTTCGGACCCCGGGGCTCCGCCTTCCCTCGGGAAGCCGGAGCCAAGCGCCAGAGTCTCCCGGTCCCGTCCGGAATCCCCCGGAGACGGTGGAAGGGCCGAAGTGGCGGGCGTCTAGGTGGTTCTAGGTGGGCTTGGCCCGCGGCGAGGAGAGCCCGGCACACTTCCTGGGTCTCGTAGACCCGCGACCCCCCTGAAAACTTTAGTTACATAAAGTAGGGAGAGGGTGCCCGCCCCAGTTCGCCGATCCGCGAGGACCCGGCAGTTCCTAGGGCCTGTTTCCCCGTGTCCTGCTAAACGCTGGCCTTCGTCCTTAATGGCCGGATGGATCGTCCGCGAGCACTCGCCTTTTTAGAGGTGTGAATCTCTGCAGGATTACCGATAAGTTTTTATGCGATATGACATGCAGAGACTTGCATACAGCGTACATGTTTAAAGAATAATTTTCAATAAAGCACCCAGATAAAAACAGAACATTGCTGGTTCCTCAGAAGTTCCACCCACACCTTCTATTCCCTTCTGAGCGTAATTCCTTACCTAGACTGACTGTTTTGCTTTTCCCTATAGCTTTGGCACCTAGGTATGCATGCCTAAACAATATGGTTTTACTTGCCTGTTTTTGAACTTTTATGACTGGGGTCATATTGTATTGTTTTGTGTCTTTGAGTTAATGGTGAATTTGTATATATCTATAGATAATTTTTATTGCTGTCTATTGTATTCCATTGTATGAATATAACTGTGTCCATTCTACTGTTGATGAGCATCTTGTTCCAGTTTGGGGATACCATGGACAATGGGATAAGCATTCTTAAACCTACATACTAGTGCAAATGTATAAGAGGTTATTTTAGAATACATGCCTTAGAATCCTAGGAGAATTGTTGAATCATAGGGAATGCATAATTTTACCAGATAATGCTAAATTTTTATTTGAGGTGCAGCAAAGTTAACTTCCCAGGACACATCGTTACTTTGGTTTGCAGTTCCTGGAGTCCCTTTTTTTCTCATTAAAAGTAGGTTCCGTCATTGAACATCCAGAACAATCAAGATTGTACTGACTTTTTTTTTTTTTTTTAAGAGAGAGAGAGAGTGGAAGGGAGACATCAATGGATTGCCTCCCACAGGAATCGAACCTGCAAAACCCAAAACCTGGTTATGTGCCTTGACCAAGAATTGAACCAGCCACCTTCTGGCATACCGGACAGTGCTCCAACCAACTGAGCCACACCAAGCAAGATTTTAACAACACCTTACAGAGAACCAGTTAAGAGTTAGGATGATGGGTTTTCATTTTGTGAATGTAAAAAATCTTACTTGAAGTCTTCTCAGTGGTCTTTCTTTTAAATGTTCTTTCCTACACTCAGGGTAGAGAAATGATAAATATGTATCTCATCTGTCTTTGTTTCTTTTGGTGCCTTGTGGATCTTTGTCAAACCAGAGTTCCTGCATTCCATGGTAGGTTGTTTCTGTAGAATCCCCTGCACTTTAAGTGACCAGACCATTACCCTTGTTAGGCATGCAAAGTCAGTAGGTGAGCCTCACTCCCCTGTAACTCGTAGCTGGATGTGGAGGAGAAGATGCTAGCCTTTTCTGGGAGGACTGTGGTGTAGTGAACTCCAGCTGCTCGAGTTTTCAAGGCTTTGACACAGTTGACTTAAACCTCCTTGTTCATGCCAGGCCGCTCATCCCCATGCATTTGTGCTTCACAGTACAGTGTTCTTGAGATTTCGTTGTGTAGGTCCAATTACCCTCCATGCAGGAAATTATTTTAAAAGCTTCTTGGACATAAGCAATTGTCTGTAGGAGCCATGTGGCCATCACATTCCTACATGAGCTTGGGTACAAAGACAATGAGTGTATCCTTTGAAGTTAATGGAATTTCCTACATTTCCCTTATTTTCTTGTGTGTGTGTGTGTGTGTGTGTGTGTGTGTGTATTTCCTGAAATGGGAAATTTCACTGATTCCTTGTGAATTCCTGATTCCTTGACAGTTGTTAATAACAGTAATCAAAATATTATAGCTTTACCCTGTCTGGTGTGGTTCAGTGAGTGGGAGCATCATCCCATACACTGAGGGGTCGTGGATTTGATTCTGGTTGGGCCCATACTTAGGTTGCAGGTTTGACCCCTACCCTGGTGGCTCATGGGGGAGGCAACCAATCGATGTTTCTCTCTCTCTTCCCTCCCCCTCTCTGTAAAAATCGGTGAACATGTCCTCAGAGGATTGAAGAAAGAAAAAGAAAAAGAAAAAGAAAGAAATTATAGCTTCTATTTACTAAGAGCCTGTGTGATGTGCCAAGCAATATGCTAAATGCTTTTTCTTCATTATTCCCTAAACTTCATAAAACAAAGCTTTTTTTTTTTTTTTTTGGCCAAAAAATGGCAGTTTCAATATGGTTCAAATTAATATTGTGTATTTTACATATAAGGAATCCTAGACCCAGATTTTACTTAAGTGCATAGTTGTCTGACTGTAAAGCTTATGCTTCTTTGCTATATTAAAGTATTCCTTGCTAAGACTTAGCCAGCTAAGCAATAGCAAAGCCAAAGTTAGAAACCAGTTCTGCCTCTGTAGTTATTCTGTCAATTATCAACAGTTTCCAAGATATAGTGTTTTGTTTCTGTAAATCTCAAATGGTTAAAAACAGTACTAGTAACACATTTTCATATTTGACAGGATCCTATTAAGTAGATTAGATATCATGTTCTATAAATTTGATCACCTTCTTTCTGGGTTTGAAGTAAGCTGCTTTTAGTGGCCCCTATAACGTGTGCTATTCCCTGTGCACTGCTCAGGGGAGTAAGATGTAGTCAGTGCGTGCCTCCCAGTGCTCTTACTGAGATTTTTATAAGTAAGACACCATCAAGATACAGGTGGTAGGTAAGAGTAAGACTGAGACAGTCATTTTAAATCTGAGCACTGAAGCCTAATTTTGATCTCTCAAGGGAGGCAACAGGCACTGGCTTTTATTTTGATTGTTAAAGTACTATGTACTTGAAAAGATTCAAACTATAAAACTATATCCTGGGAAAGATTAAGATCTGGCTTTTCCAATCCTGCTCCCCACTTGTAGCCACTTTGACCTTTGGTATTTATCTTTCCTGATTTTATTTTTCTATTCCAAAAAACTGTGGATCAGAGAAATGTAGCTGTGGAAGGAACTTAAGGAATCCTCAAGTCCAGCTTTTACATTTTGCAGTAAATGAGAGGTCCTACAAGATTAAATGGGGTCATAGTTGTAGTAGCAGAATTAGAGCTAAACTCCAGGCAATGCCTTGGCTTCAGTTGAGAGCCTGTGATACTGGACACAATCAATAGCACTGTTCTGTTCTAGATAAAAACTGACTGTGAAAAGTAAAAGTTGGACAATTGAAGTTCAGATCGACTTTGGAATTCATTTGCAAGATTGAGGTTTATTGTCATCTCCAGTAGAGGAGGTGACAATAAATTTCATTGTTTATCCCCTGTAATCTTAGATTGGCCTCTTTCCAAAATGAGGTGGTGTTATAATACCTTGTTTTTTAGCCACTAGTTCCTACATTTCCTTTTTTATACTCTAATTATAAGCTAAACTACTGGTGGAAGTTGAACTATTGAAGCCCCCAACAAGTAGGTCAGTCATCATTAGTAGTTCTCCATGTGAGAGCCCCTTCATTTAGCTAGAATTTCCACATGACAGGAAAATGCAACTGACCTCTCTGTTCCTCTCAGAAATTTATCAGCAGTCTACTATCCTACCCTTTCTCAGCCCAAGCACCTTCTTTGGTGATATTGGAATTTGTGGAAATAAAAAATAACTACATTTTAACAACATTGGGAACTTATGCTATAAAATTATAGCAAACAACATTATATGGCTGTGAAATACTTAACGTATCCTGGATCTCTGAACTCTTGGAAGCATTCATGAAGCAATATCTTAAGGAATATATACATAGAGGTCATGTATATACACAGTATAGTGAGTGTATATATATATATATATATATATATACACACACATATACATACATACATATGTGTGTGTGTATATGTGTGTGTGTGTGTGTGTGTGTGTGTGTGTGTGTGTATATATATATAAAGTTAGTACCGTAGAATTCAGTCACATTGCCACCAATTATACCTGGAAGGTCATAGAAACAAATGTAACCCATTTTTTAAAAAGTATGAAGTAGTAGACTCCCTAAATGTATAGCATAGGAGAAAATCCTCACAATCTGTGAAATAATTCAATTCAGTAATTAGAGGCTAGGAATCTCAACACAGGGCATAACATTTTGGTTATCTTTGAGCAGGTGCAAGCAGTTATCACTACCCTTAGGCCTTTGACACAACCATAGCATCTCTAATTTAAAAAGAGGAAATTTGATAAAATAAAAATCTAATTGACTACATGGCCCACCCCTAGATCATATGAGGCTCTTTCTTCAGTTTCAGTTGGCAATTCATTTGTTCTTTTGGGTAAAAATACTGAAGTGAAGGCTCTTTTCTCTGAGTTTCCTGGTGTGAGCCTTCATCATGGGCATCTGAAACCTGTCATTAGAAAGTTCCTCAGGTATCAGGCCATTATTAGGTGGAAAGCTGAGGAAGCCGCCTTCGATCTGTTTGTTTGCTTAAGTTTCTTCAATGAGCGGTAATTTTCTTACAAGCAGCCAGTTCAGACTCTTTCAGAGGTCTTAGACTTTCACACTCAAAGATTCTTCCTAACAGAAGCTCTCCTGATTAGTGATATTGAATAAAACTCTTTTCAGTGCAGTAAGTTACATAAATACAGAATTTTAATTATGAATAGTCATATATATTTGATTGAATATTTATCTCCTTTATTTCCATTTAGGTGTCTTATAAGTCTTTGAACTTTACTGTTTTGCCATCTGAAAAACATATGAATTACCTGTGATATTTGGACTCTGATGTGGTTGGGCTATCTCCCCTCATACCTGTAGAAATTGGGTATTACATTTCTCTGTAGTTTAGTCTATGGGAAGGAGAGTTTCATATCCTCCCTCCCTTTTCTCTTCATAAGGAAATGCAGCCTGAGAGCGATTCCATATTCCAGGCAGTTCAAAGAATTCTGAACCATAAGCTGAGCTTAGTCCCAGGTGAGACTAATAGTTTTTCAAGCACCATAATTTTCATTAATTCAAGTAGTATTAGTATAGATATAAATGTCCTATAGCCTCATTGTCTTTTACTTTTCAAATTACTAACACTATAAGTAAGGTAAGTCACCCTTATTTAAACATATTATCAGATCTTAGTGTGTACAGGGCACTGTGCTAGGTAATACAGGAATATGTACAGAAAGGACAGTATTTCCTTTCCTTATCCATACATGATAAATTCTCTGATGTGCATTTAGTGTTATGAGGGAGAAGAGGGGCCTGATCTGCTTGGAGAATTTATTTGGTATTCAAGAATAAGAAAAGAGCAATTGGGCATGAGGATGTCTCTTTTTTTCCTTAAAATTAAAGGAGCTAAGCTTGAAGAGAAAAAGGGTATTTAAAAATATTTTGTTTTAAAAAATGTAAATGGATGATACATTATCGTAATTATTTTCCTTAAAGAAAATAGAATTCTATACCTTTCAAAATAATGTCTGGCAAATTTTAAAGAACTCATTAATAGGACAATCCACACTGGAGTTGTACTTAATGCAACCTACTTTAAGTGGATACTACCAAAAAAAATTAAATATATTAGAAGTCAGTTATACTTTTATTAGTATATTTCACTGTGTCACTTGTAACTTTCATCTTGTTTCTTTACCTTTTAGACTTGGAATGGCCACATATCTGGGTGAAGTTCATAGTTTGAAACTGGATGATGATTCAGTCATAGAAGGAGTAAGTGACCAAGTACTTGTGGCAGTTGTGGTCAGTTTCGCTTTGATTGGTACCCTGGTATATGCACTTTTCAGGTGAGACTAAAAAGCAAAAGAACTGAAATAATTTATATTTCCAAGGGCCACTGACTTTCTGACTGCTTCTAGTAATGCTTAATACTTAATATGAAAAGAAAGTAATAGATCTCAGTGATTGTATCTCTTTACTAAGGTATTTTATTTTCCCGTAGGCCCATTTCTCCTGACATCAGCTGCCTTATATAAATTTAAGTTTATTATCCATATTTTGAGTAAAATATTAATATTTTCTGTAGGAGTATCACAGTTTGAAAATGTAATTTTCATAATTGAATCCATCAACTTGTAAGTGATGGATACAAAATATTTTCAGTGTTTAAATGTAAAACTAAGACAAAAAAAACAAACCCTTGTCTAATACAGAGGGACTTTAGATTAGAATTAAAATTATTGTTATAGAATCAGAAATAATACTTAAAGGTCTCAGATGTCTATATACCAGTTGATTTTCAACCAGCGTGCCACAAGAATTTTTAAAACATTCAATACCTGACTCTTTAGTCAGGGGCATTGACCTTTTTTCCCTTAGGTTGTCAAATAAAAAAAATGACAACAGTCAGCACAACGATAGCCATCCAGTGTGAATGAATCAAAGTTATACCTTTTTATCAGATTGGCAAAAAATACAATATATTTTTGGTGTGCCGCAGAATTTTAGTAATTAGTTTATGTGTGCCATCAGATGAAAAAGGTTGAAAATTGCTGCTATCTACCAATACATAGTTTATGTAATAAGCTAGAAATTTAAGTGTTAACATATGGAGATAAACATATATATACAGTCAGACCTCGACATAATGGAGTAATTCGGGCAAGGGGGTGTCCATTAAAGCCAAAAGTCCATTATATAATAAAGTAGATTTTCTGAATGCATATGTTAAAAAATTGACAAATTAGTTAATTTACCTGTGTTTACTCATGTAGACACATTTGTGTAATTAAAATTAAGTATGTATGAAAAGTTTAATTTCACAGAAAAGTTTTCTATATGTATTACCGTAGTTTTAAATTTATATTGAATAGGCCTAGTAAATTCATGCATTCACCTGTCACCTCGAGTAAACAAAAGCACACAGCTGGGGCGTGGCTCAGTGCATGTGGGAACATTGGCCAGCACTGCTGCAGAAAGTCACCCCACCCAACAACAGAACCAATTTCCATGTGCCATTCGGTATGATCACGTGCTAATCATTTGCCGAACATTGTTTACGAGCAGTGACTCTTGAATTTAAATATGTAGACTATAGTTGTAGATATGTAATTTTTATTTATGTCAGCAAAATTACTACAGTTTTTTTTCCAGTATATGGCCTGTTCGCTAAAATTTGTTTAAAATAACAGTGAATTAATAACAAAAAAGATAACCTGTTAAAGTTTAATTATAAGCAAATCTTGGTTAAAAGCATTTTAAAATTGACAAGGTGTTAATTTTCACATACGACATATGGACCAGAAATTTTGTCTGTTAAATCCGAAGTTGGTTAAATCAAGGTCTGCATAATCGAGGGTTTACTTTAGTTCCATTACATTTATATTGAACTTCTGATTAGATATTTGACTTTAAATTGTTTTTATGTCCTCTAAACTGATGGTTATATTTTGTCAGCTTTCTTTTCTAAAATTTGAGTTTTTTACTAAAAATGGAATAATCATAGGATGGATTTCTTTAAATTTCTCTATGCCATTAGAATATTAATTTAGAATTTTTATTGCTGTTGGATATTGGTTTATCCAGATAGTAAAGGCTCCTCTATAGAGTAACACTGGGATTGTATGGACTTAAAATATTGCTGTTAAAGAGGTTTTGGTTTAGAAAAAACTTCTACAGTCAAATGAAATTAAGCCATGATTCAGATGTTAACCTTCACCCCCACCCTGCTAACCTAAGTACACTCCTAATTTTCAATACTCACATGTCTTATCCTATCCTATTTATCAGTCACTATCTTCTTCCCTTTGATTCTCCAGTTTGTTGTTGATGTTAAGATATTAGTGGTATGTTAGCTTTTAGCATTTCTACATTATATAATTTTAGTTTTTGTTTTTCTCTGTCCTCATAGGTAAAAAGTTAGAAGGACCTAGTGAGATATGGTAAAGTGTTCAAATACATAACATACAGATTTATATAGCTGCTTATTTTGAAGGAATTGTGCAAAAGAATTGAATATGTTAATTGTTCTTTTGTTATTTGCAAGTCTGGGATTACATTAAATCCAAGGAACTAGGTCTCTGGATTTCATCATTTGCCAGGTAAGCCTGATATGGGCCAATGATCAGTAATCTCAGAATAGCCCGGAGTGTTCAGTCCTGAAAGTGGAGTACAGTTGTCCACCATCACTTACAGTTATTTAGTTCAGTAGTTCTAGGTCAGAAATCATACCCATAAAGAAAACTGATTAATCTGACAGTATTTTATATTCAAAGTTTATTGTATTTTATTCAACAGAAATGCACATCAAAACATTCACCCAGAAAACCAAGAACTAGTAAGGGTGCTTCGGGAACAACTTCAAACAGAACAGGTACTGTTCATGTAAATGTGCATTTATGTAAGAAGCAGATGTTATTACTCGCTTTGTGTATGAAATTGTGATGAAATATTAATAAATTACTTTTTGGAAACATGGGTTTCTTTGTGCTTTAAATTACCTTAAATTATTCGATCAATTATATATTTTCAGATTAGGCAAATGACTTTTTTTTTTTAATTGCTTTAAAAGACAGCAGTTTTGATACTTGCTTGTGAGGAAAATAATCACTGTCTAATTGGCTTTAATGAAATTTGTGGAAAAGCTATTCTTTCTAACATACATTTCCCAAAGACCTACAAAGAAATGACTATAACTGGTGGCTTCTTTTTCTTTTCTTTTTCTTCAAATATCAAAGTTAAGAAAACTAGGCAAAAAAGAAAACTTTTCTCACTTGCCTCCTCTTTGCTTTTAACAAGATGGATTCTCTTAAGAACCAGAAATGTATTTTATGAAGGCTGAATTAAGTAGGATATTGCACACTTTCATGCTGAGATAGCTAACATCAAAAAACAAAATATAAAAATTTATTTCTTACCCACAAAACTTTAATTCCAAAGAGGATTTTATCATTTATCCATTCACCAAACATTTATTGAAAATCTACCATATGACAGACAGTGTTCAAGGAATTGGGAATTCAACTGTGAACTAAACAGACAAGAATGCCTTCTTTGTAGAACGTAAATTCATTGATGCAAAAATAGTTTAAGTATGCTATTAGTACTCTGTTCCTGAGCTATTGTTATCAATAATTCATGCTGGAATAGTGTTTAATAATTCACAAAATGATTTCACATACTATACTTATTTAATCTTCAAACATAATAAGTAAGGCAACTGTTATTCTCATTTAACATATTAGATCACTAAGATTTGCTTAAATTCACACTAGGATTACATGAGTAGATCTAGATATACAGGAATCCCAGATTGAGGGGAATCTTCCAGTTTGTTTGTTTTTTAATCTTTTTTTTTAAAATATATCTTTATTGATTCAGAGAGAGGAAGGGAGAGGGAGAAAGAGAGATAGAAACATCAATGATGAGAGAGCCATTGATCAGCTGCCTCTTGCATGCCCCCGACTGGGGATCGAGCCCGCAACCCAGGCATGTGCCCTGACGGAGAATTGAACTGTGATCTTCTGGATCCTAGATTGATGTTCAACCGCTGAGCCCCGCCCAGCCAGGCTCTTCCAGTTTTTTTGTACCACTGTCCCATTCATGTACCTCATACCTTCCTCACACATGGTGTATAGCTCTGGTTAGAATAAAGCTAGTGACTTAACCTATACTGTGCTGTCCTATATGGTAGGCACTAGACAGACATGGCTATTTAATATTAAATTAACTGAAATTAACTAAAATTAAAAATTCAGTGCTTTAGTCACATTGGCCACATTTCTAGCACTCAGTGGCTACTTGTAGCAAGTAGCTATCATATTGGCCAGCACAGACAAAGAAAATTTCCATTATTGCATAAAGTTCTGTTGGATAGCACTGGTAATTGGTTTTTCATCAATTAATTTCCAAATAAGAGAAAGGGTAGAGTGGGGAACATTAAGGGCAGTATATTTTTCTTTTTTGCACCATTTAAAATGACCTAAAAGACTAACATCAGGGTGTGACCTTGGCTAAATTAATTAGCTAAATACTTGTCAGGAATGTATGAATGAAAAAGATATTAAAAATGAAAAAAAGGTAATACTTCAGAAACAGTTTGGCATTTTTTATTCTTCAGTTATGCATTAGCTCAGCCTTGTGTTACTCAGAATAACTCACTCATTCTAATGGAGTAAAACAGAAACTCCTAGGTTTTTAATCTTTAAATTGTGTTCAGGAAAGAAGGTAGAGATTCTGCAGTTTATAAATAAAACAGCAATATAGCTTCATAACTTTATCAAACTTAAGACCTTAAACTATTGCAAATCTAAAATTTATGACGATTACACAGTATTGACTATATTCTTAAGTATAGTTTAACATAAAGATAACTTTGAAAAGCCTATGTCAAGTATAAATGTGTACACATTTTCTCATCAGGATGCACCTGCTGCTGTTCGACAGCAGTTTTACACTGACATGTACTGTCCAATCTGTTTACATCAAGCCGCCTTCCCTGTGGAAACGAACTGTGGACATCTCTTTTGTGGTAAGCAAACAAGTGCTGTACTTGGTAATAGTGACTGTTTGGACCAAGACCTGTATGTGTACACAGGCTGGATTCCTAACTTTCTCTTTGTCACAGTTGTATTTCATGAGTAGGGTAGATTGCTCCAGATATTCTGCTATACTTGTCAGCCTTTTTTTTTTTTTTTTAATATGTCTTTATTGATTTCAGAGAGGAAGGGAGAAGGGGAGAGAGAGAGAGAGAGAGAAACCTCAATGATGAGTGAGTCGTCATTGATTGGCTGCTTCCTGCATGCCCCTGACTAGGGATAGAGCCCGCAACCTGGGCATGTGCCCTGACGCAGCCACTTTTATTTAGCGTCTGTGGATTCAAAGATTTTAAAAAACTAGTTATTCAACTTCTCAATAAACAGAAATGTGTTTCTTTGAATAGTAATTCAGGTATATCAATACCATGACGGATTGACTGATTCATTGTTCATCACTTTTTAGTAGTTTCAGTTATTATTCATCCTTCCCAAAGGCAGGAAGGCTCTCTCAAGGACCCTGCCCAAGACCTTCCCTTAGTTCTACTAACTTTCCCTACCCTGACTCAGTACAGATGCTCTTAGCCTCTCTTTGTGACCTCAAGAGGGTTGCTGATGGAGTATGAGAAGTCTAGAGCATGCAGTGGTACTAAAAGGGAATGTTGATTTCACACTTATTTAGTAATAAGTAAGGGGTGCTTTCTACCTCCAGAAAGACTTCACAGAAAATAATGAGATACCATATAATCATTGCTTCTTATGGTCATATGAGATTTGGGAGAGTCAGTTATTACATGACACTTAACATTCTTCATCTCATCTAACTCCACAAAACCATGGCTGAGAGATGTTAAGAAATTTTACAAAAGGTAATCCAGCTGCTAAGGAACAGAGGCAGTTTTAAACATAGATCTCACTTCAAGCCCTATGCTCAGTTCTGCTCTTTGATTGATGGCTTATACAACTACTCTCTACTTAAGATTTATCCAATTTTTCATTGTAGTAGTTCTTTCTCTTTGAACAGCTGTATTCAAGATACGATTCTAATTGCTTCCAAAATGCACACAATTCCCATATAAGGACTAATTTAAAATGTAGCATACAATGACCCTGTAAGTTACTTTTGTCTAAGATTCATTATATAGAATTCTTAGGTATATAGTGTTACTGTTTATGTATGTTGGGGATGACATACATATTTGAAATCTATACCACGCATTGCAAGATTTTCTGTACCTTGTACTCATTTAGTAAGGACTTACCAACCCCATTATTGCCTCATCCAGTAATTCCATCCTCTTTCCTAAGGTTTTTGCCTAAGCAGCTAACAAATTATAATTGTTTGTTGGAATGCTAATGAGGAGCAAAATAATGAAAGATCAGATAGGAAGAATTAAATGGCCATCAGAGAAAGCAGATACTTCCCCCCACTCTCAGCCCTCTGGTAGAAATTCCTAATCAATTGGACACTTTTTCTGAGTCTGGATATGGACTCAACCATCCTCTAACACAATACTCCAGGCAAGTGTCAGGAATCACTGAGGTTTGGCAGGCAAGGTGAACTCTATTTGCCAACCCAGGCTTAAGTAATTCACTGAGTGGATAACCCAGTCAGTTGAAAGATGGCTGTATTGTGTTCTTGGTTTTACCTTTGGGTCTGAGGTAATAGGGTAGATTGCTTCTGATATCCTGCTCTACTTGTTAGACACTTTTATTTACTGTCTGTAGGTTCAAAGGTTAAAAAAACTAGTTATTCTACTTCTCAATAAACAGAAATGTGTTTCTTTGAATAGTAGTTGAACTATACTGATATCATCAAGAGCACTTTAGCTTAGTTCTATATATGGAACTAGTTCTGTTCCTTTACAGTGAGTTAGGAATAATGCAGTTGTAGCCCTCATTATTTTATTCAGTTCTCCAGCAGTCTTATAAGGTCTTATTCCCATTGTACAAATAAGCAAATTCAGAGAGATCATGACCCAGATTAAAGTCATTGAGTTATCTCTCCCACCATCCTATTTAGGTGTATCTCTCTTTTTAAAGAGGAAAGTTGAGAAACAGGAAACACATCAAGCATGTCATAGCAGATGTATATGAACTGAAGTGTTTAATTTACTGGACCATGGTTTCTCAGTACAGGCAAATGGCCCTTACATGGTTTGCAAAACAAGAACACTTATACCCCAATTTGTGGAAAAAAGATGTGGGATTAAATGAGTTCAGCCCTGACAGGTGTGGTTCAGTTGGTTGGAGCATCGTTACTTGCACCAAAGTGTTAAGGGCTCAATTCCCAGTCAGGGCATGTGTCCGAATTTTGGGTTCAGTCCCTGGTTGGTACGTGCGGGAGGCAGCTGATCAATGTTTCTCACATCAATGTTTTTCTCTCCCTCCATCTTCCTTCCCCTCTCTCTCTAAAATCAATAAAAAATAAAATAAGTTCATATATGCCAAAACACATTGAACTTTTGGATTAGAAGGTAGTAGATAAATCTAAGGCATCATTACAAATAGTAACAATACTAACATATTTAAAATAAGTTTTGCTTTCATATAGTTTCTATATGAAATTACTCAGAGTACTTAATATTATCTAACACAACACTCTGAGAGTAGGGGGGAAATATCAGATAAAGGTGGTTTAGTTTTTAAATTAATCTTTAAATTGTTGAACCAGTTTTTCCCCATAGTCACTGTAATGTCCAATTTGGACAGCCTTGGCTTAGCCCATTGGTTTGCTCACCAGTCTCCTCAAATACCATCTATTTCTGCTTCTGGTGTTTGCTCTTACTATTCATAAAACCTGGAGGTCCTCCCTCCATTTCTGCCTGTCTAAATTTTTGCTATCCTACAAAGTTCAAATTCTTTCTCCTTTGCAGGTTCCTCTCTAACACATCCCAGAGAGTTCTCCCTCTCTGTACTCCTTTTGTACTTAAAATTAATATTACACAGCTCAAAATTTAACTACCCTCTGGTTGATTTAATGATGTCACCTTGGTCTAATTCTTCTGAATTCTGGACATCTGAAAGAAACAGGAAAGGGAACACAGGAGGGCTAAGCTAGGTTGCCAAGGCAAGAAAAGATCCTGGAGGTAGGAGAGAGACATGAAACACTTAGTTCAGATTCACAATGGGACCTAGATGGTCTGAAAAATGTGTCCTGCAAAGAGGAAAAGGAATCGAACCCTTAAACATCAGAAAGTATTTTAAAATATTTCTTCTTCATTTGTTACTGGGCTGCAATTTAGTGCTTCTACATTTAGCTCACCTACTGCTTTCTGAAATCTTCTTTTAGGCTGTGTTTAGCAAAACAGCTGCTCACAAACACCTTCAAGCAAAAAAAATCAAACCCATCCAATACAAAAGTTGATTCAATTACTGAATTGTATTATAAACTTTATCAGGGCAGAGAGCATGTAATCTTTGTATAATTTGGTTCCTTAATTAACTCTTATTGATACTTAAGTAATTTGGCTTTCTAAACTCATAAAAATGTAGAAATTGTCTTTTTATAACATACATATGAGATTTCAAAAAGAAAATTAGGCTGTGATTTGTTGGTGTCAGTTTGTTTAATTACTGTTTTATTCATTTTACATAGGAAATGCAATATTTTCTAATANATTATTCAGTGATGTTTAATTACTGTTTTATTCATTTTACATAGGAAATGCAATATTTTCTAATAAGCCTCAAAGCATTGAAACAATGCATGCTTGCTTTTGTGTAAAAATATCTGTATCTTAATTGGTAGTTTAAATACAAATGCTTCATTTTTTATTGATTTTTTATTGATTTCAGAGAGAGGAACGGAGAGGGAGAGATAGATAGAAATATCAATGATGAGAAAGAATCATCGATCAGTTGCCTCCTGTATGCCCCCTCCTGGGGATTGAGCCTGCAACACAGGCATGAGCCAGAATTGAATCTTTATCTCCTGGTTCATGGGTGTGGCTCAACCACTGAGCCACACCATTAGGCCAAATGTTTTTTAATAGCTGAGAATTAATAGACTTGAATTTGCCTGAAGAGATGTTAGATGAAGTAAAAAAAGTATTTTAAATATTTTTAAAAAATATATATCTTTATTGATTTCAGAGAGAGGAAAGGAGAGGGAGAGAGAGAGAGAGAGAGAGAAATGCCAATGATGAGAGAGTCATTGATCGGCTGCCTCCAGCACGCCCCTGACTGGGGATCAAGCCCGCAACCCGGGCATGTGCCCTGACCGGGAATTGAACCCCGATCGCCTGGATCCTAGGTCAATGCTCAACGGCTGAGCCAGGCCGGGCAAAAAAGTATTTTAAAATAAGGTGATACTGTTAAAATATGTCAGATATTTAAAATATCAGTATTAATTTTCTTTTCCCATTAGGTACTTGCATTATTGCATACTGGAGATACGGTTCATGGCTTGGAGCAATCAGTTGTCCAATCTGTAGACAAACGGTAATGTTTGTATTGAGAGCATTATTAATGCGTGTTCATTTTGTAAATCTTTGTAGTTTCTGTATCTGACTTCTGAATTATTTTGATATTTTTAGCAGAATTTCCTTTATCCAAAGCGTCTATGATGTTACTCCATTATTTTTTAATGTCTTTCAGACACTTCGAAAAAAGGGAATTCCCTTTGAAATCCTTCAGTTGTAAGAAAAACAAATGGTAAATTAATCCCTTCCCAAAGCCTAGAAAGTCTTTGTCATCATACGAGCAACAGAATAACTCAACTAGCTAATCAGGCTTAAGCAAACATCTCCCATATTTCTTTTGAAAAAAATTGGTTTTCCTTTTTAACTTATGTCCTTCTCCAGTAAGGGTCCAGATAGCTTTAAATAATGAATAATTGTTAAAATTATTTGGAAACATAATCACATTGAATTGTCCAGAACAAATCTGACCATTCCAGTTAGTCTAGAAGCTACCTTAGGAGGCAGGCAGTAAGTTACCATCAACATGCATTGGAGGCTGAAATGTCAGCACACATGGGATTGCCACATTTTCTGTTTCTTTGACAAACTGGAAAAAGCAATATACTGAAAAATTTGAGGAACTGAAGTTCTTAATTTTTTAATTAGTAAATATAGCAAAATAGGACATTCTCTCAGTTTTGTATAGTTTTTCATAATTTCCTTTATAGTTATTTTCCACTTAAAATAAAAATATACACCTTTCTGATAATGAGTTATGAACATGTAAAAAGACAGCATCTCCTTAGGATGTCTTCCAGTATGCAAAATAAAGTCCTAAAAATGATAGTTTCCAAGTAAAGATGTCAAATTAGATGCATATATTTACTTTTGCTCCATCTTGCAACCCTACTAGAACAATAGTACGGGATATTGTGTAAAGGCATAAACCCACAGAGACCAAAAAATAAAATGATAGGAGGGTGACAGTTTTTCAAAAATTCTTTGTAAAATATTACAGACATACAAAACAAAGAAGTACATCTCATTGAATTATCACAAAACAACACTTAAGGAATCATCACTCAGGTGAAGAAACAGAAATTGGCCAGTAGCCCAGATGCCTCCCCAAGACCCCTCCCAAATCTTCGCCCCTCCTTCCTCTCCTATAGGTAACTTCTATTTCACTTTTATGATAAGCATTTCCTTGATTTTCTTTACATAGTTTTATTACCTTAGCATACACCTCTGAGATTATTTAGTTTTGCCTAAATTTGGACTTTATATAAGTAAAACCATGTGATAAGTATGTTAAATACACATGCACACACGGATGTATGGGGTGGGCAAAAGTAGGTTTATAGGTGTTCGTATGGAAAATAATACAATAATAAATAAATAATAATAATGCAAGAATAAACTCTGTGTTTCACGTACTCACAGCTGTAAACCTTTTTCCCACCCTGTATACCTTCAGCCTTTTCTTTGTTCTAGCTATCTAATTCCCCCCATCACTGCCTTCTTTTTTGGCATAGGCAGAGGTTCAGGGTTTTCTCTTTCCTTCTTCCTTCAACGTTCCTAAATTCTGTCCCTTCCACATTTGACTATCATGGTCCAAGGGAAAATCTGTTTTTGTGGGGTTTTTTGTACCGCCTCTCTGGATGACTTTATATGTGACACAGAGCAGTCAACACTGAAACTTACTTGCCATTACTACCTCTCATAATCTTAAGCTATCTGCCAGCCACACTGAGACCAGGCCCTAGGTCTTGCATTAAATAATTAGTTCCACCACTGGTGGCTTTTCATAGATTATATATAAATTATCAGGTGGTATCCTTTGGACCACCCATAAATTGGCTAGAGGCTAGAAAGGTGGAGACAAAGTTGTGTTTTAATATAATAGCTTTTGTTTTTTCTAACTGTATAGTAATTCATCCTGGAGGCAAGGCAGGTGGCAGACACCTGCTTCACCTCCTGTTTCACTGGAAATAATAATGCTTAGGCTGATGCCCCTGACTAGAGCACGCTCACCACTTCCCTCCATGAATACATACACTAACACACCAATGGTCCTACCTGCGTTTCAAGGGCTAGCTTAAGTTTCAAGCTTCTGGACACCCCAGGGAGAAGAAGTCCTTACTTTCAAACATCATTATAACACCCACCTCAGTGCCTTAGAAGAGGCTATTGAACAGGCCTCCCCTTCTGTCCGGGGGATTATGATCACCAACGGGTAAGGCCATGTTGTTGTCTTTTTTTTAATATATTTTTATTGATTTCACAGAGAGGAAAAGAGAGGGAGAGAGAGAGATAGAAACATCAATGATGAGAGAGTCATTGATTGGCTGCAGCCCACAACTCGGGCATGTGCCCTGACCTGGAATCGAACCCCGATCGCCTGGATCCTAGGTCTACGCTCAACCGCTGAGCCACGCCTTGCCGGGCTTTTTTTTTTTTTTTTTATCAAGCACTTAGCACAGTGCCTTGCCCACAGTAGGTGCTCAGTTAATACTTAAGGAATGCGTTTTTATTAACAAATTTGTGAAGAGGTAATGGTACCTGCTCTTCCTTCTACCGACTGCTGTTAGTCACTCCTTTGTTTAGCTGTTGGAGAGTGTCCGAGAAGTGGGAAGCCCTGGTTTTACAGCTGAACTGAGGAAGGACAAAAACAACAGCTGGCCCTGGCTGGTGTGGCTCAGTTAGTTGGAGCATATTCCCATACACAGAAAGGTTGCAGGTTCGATTCCCAGTCAGGGCACATACCTGGGTTGCAGGTTTAGTCCCCGGTTGGGGCACATACAAGAGGCAACTGGTTGATGTTCCTCTCGTCCTCCCCCTCTTCCTCTCTCTGAGTGGGGCCGGGGGGACCAACAACAGCTAGATGATTCAAACCTACATCTGTCAGTACTCCTTCCCATCTTATCTCATTGGACAGCGGCCATTTCTGTTGGGGTCTTTCAAGGTCTATCATCTTCAGACTGCCAGATATGGTCCTGGGACACTTATGTATCCTACTTCTGCCATGGAGGAAGATGGGTTAAATGTGTTGTTACATAACAATATCAAGAGCTACCTTTTTTATTACAGTAGGGCTGGGTGCTTGAGAGCCAGTCCTTGCCCTAAGTTATTCTCTGTATCATGGTTGGTAATACTCAAAGATACTTCAAACACAAGTGAGGACAGGGAATCATGACTTTAACCAAAGAAGAGATCCCGTTTTTCCCTCTCAAAGTGATAGATACATATTTTAATACCACTTTGCCCCTGGATGTTGTCTCATCATTCTTATATCTTCAACTACAGAGAACTACCGACTTTCTCTCTGGTGTGAACTGGAAAATATTAGAGTGTTAGGACAAGGTGCCCATTTTATTTTATAGATGTTCAAATTACATTTTGCATTGGATTTTATTGTAGGCAATAATCTTACTTTCCTCCCCTGTGTTGCCTTTATTCAAGCAAATGAGTAAAATACAAATTCAGAAGCTTCTCTTGTTTTACTGAGTAACACAAAATGCAGAAAGGTGTAACAGTTTTTTCCTGTAATACACAGGTAACTTTACTGCTACCAGTATTTGGTGAAAATGACCAGTCTCAGGATGTTGTACCATTGCTTCAAGATATTAATGATTATAACCGGAGATTCTCAGGGCAGCCCAGATCTGTAAGTAACGTTATAGCAGGTACAAAGTTAGAAGGAACAAAGTTAAAGTATAATGATACTTCTCTTTTGTAAAGTGAGATTTACCAACAAATATTCTTTGACTATGAAAAACGTCATTGTTTACGTGTGTTGGGTAAAGTTTTTACTTTCATCATTGTTGTCATTCACTGAGTTACAGCTTTCCCAAGGACTATAGTTTTTCTATCTTAAAAAAAAGGCATTGTGAAAGTCTTTTATGAAAGAGATAGCAGCAAAACAATAGGAAAAATTGGAGGGAAATGTAAAATTATCAACTCCTATGTGATTCTAAAATAGGATTTCTTTTATGAGAAAATTACAACTGAGAGCTTCTGGAGAGTTTTACAGGTGTGTTTTTACTCTAAGTTATTTGCCCTTGGCCCTGTTTGAGACGTTCCCTTAAGTAACCCTGTATAGCATCTTAGCTATTCAAAAGCATTCTACTTTTAAGTCACATTAATTCTGCCTGGCTGGCTGTGGCTCCGCGGTTGAGTGTTGACCTAGGATCCAGGCGATCGGGGTTCGATTTCCGATCAGGCACATGACAGGGTTGCGGGCTCCATCCCTAGTCAGGGGTGTGCAGGAGGCAGCCGATTAATGACTCTCTGATCATTGATGTTTCTATCTCTCTCTCTCCCTCTCCTTTCCTCTCTCTGAAATCAAAGATATATTTAAAAAATAAAAAAATAACATTAATTCTATAGTTGACCCTGCCCCTAAAAAAAGGCATTTGATAGATTAAAAACTGTCACATTTTATTGTCTCATTCCAGTGTTCTCAAAATCTAACTGAATTCTAGAAGTATGTGTGTGACTGAATGTGTTTCAAAAACCAGAATATACTAAGTACAAATTTAATATATGGAACACACAGACCTCTCCCCCAAGCTCTGGACTTTATATAGCTGCTTAGCTTTTCTCTCCACTTGGATGTTCCATAGGCCTCTCAAACTTAACATGTATAATATTAAACTGATTCCCACCCTAACTCAGTTAACTCTTTTCTCAATCTTACTGAGGTCCTCCTCTCCCTCATTCCCCTCATCTGATCTGTAAATAAGTCATACCATTTCTTCTCGTTTTGGGGGAGTCCCTGTCATTTTACCTCATAAAAATATCCTGTGTCTGCAGCCATCATATTAGTCCAAGTCATTATCTCTTGCTTAGGACAATTGCTGTGGCCTCTTTGCTTTGACTTTTTTCTCTGCATAGCAGCCCAAATAATATTTTGAAAACATAAGTAAGGCCATGATGCTTTTGTGTTGTAAAATTTGCAATTTTTTGGAATAATGTTCCAGCTCCTTACTATGGCTTCTAAGGCCCTGCATGACCTCTTCCCTCCTTCTCTCTCCCCCTCCCTCCCTCTCCCCCACCTCTTGTGTCACTCTCCCCTCCGTCACCGTACTTCAGTTATACTGGCCTCATTTCAGGTCTCAGAATAGCTCCAAGTCTCTCCACATTAATGCCTTCACATGTGCCTAATGCCTTCACATGCCATTTCCTGCTTGGAATGCTTGTCCCTCTCTTCTCTTGGGTGACTTCTCATCCTATATAGCTCTTAAATAGACCTTCCTCCAGAGGCTTTCCCTGACAACTAAGGTATTCTCTATTATTGCCCTCTGTACATTTACCTTCATGGTATTTGTCACAAATGGCACTCAAATCTTGTTCATTGTCTTTCTCTCCACAGACTAAAGGAGTCATGAGAGCAAGGACTGTGTTTATTTCCTCAGTACTATATTCTCATTGTGAAATTCAGTGTCTGGGATACTGTAGGCCCTTAATGTTTATTGAGAAAATTAATGAATTTGCCTTAAATTAAGAATTGATACTACTATTCCCAGCCAAGAATATAAGCTATTTCCCTGGCTAGGTGGCTCAGTGGGTTAGAGCGTTGTCCTGTACACCAAAAGGTTGTGGGTTCAATCCCCCATCAGGCGTGTATGGGAAGCAACCGATCAATGTTTCTCTCTCACATCAGTGTTTCTCTGTCTCTCTCCCTCTCTTTCTAAAATCAGTAAAAACATCCTTGCTGAGGATTAAAAAAAGAGAGAATGTAAGCTATTAAAATGCTTTAGTAATAAATAACGGTGTGCTCTTGCGCTCCCTTGCTCCTGTTGTTTATTATGAAATGTCATGTACATTTAAAGGTATACAGCTTCATCTGTGGTGGATGATAATGGGTAAATCTTTCAGATGTTTAGGCAACAAGAAAAACTTAATCCAATCACTCGTGCCCTCCTTGGCTGCTTGGAAGCCCCTTATACTATTTTTGATCCAACATTTTTTAGTTTTTACATATCCTCCAGTGACACCTGCAGGATGATTCTTTGAAAAATCAGTGTTTCAAATTCAGGAACTACCTACCACTGGACTTAAAATAACCGTTTTAAGATATTCATTCATATTTTTAAGTATGAAGCATACCACTGCTCAATTCTTATTTTTTGTGTCAGATATATATTTAATGAGTAAGAAAGATTGGTATGTGATGAAATTACAATATAATAAAGACATTTAGCTCTTACTTTGATATTACCTCATTCAAAGCTGGAGTAAGATTATGATTAATATACAAATGTTTCTTAGTAACTCATTTATTTCTTGTCTAATTACAGATTTTATATAAATGATACCATATAAACAGTGAAAAATAGCTCTTATAACGGACAGAAAAGTATTCCATTAGAATATTTAAAGTAATTTACCATAGATTTTGTAAAAACTGAATAGCTGTTTTGCTTTAAATATTAGTTTCTTCCATGGAGAATAGAAAATTAACATAGGAAGTGATTCTGAAAATAACATTTTTGTTTTTTGTGACCAGTTTTCCAAAAGGAGTTACAAATTTTCTTTATCTGGTGTTTTTAAAACTGATTTCTCATCACTTGCTCTATTCTCCATCTCCCTCTCAATTTATTTGGCATTTGTTAAACAAACAAAATATAGACATAGAGTTGGATTCATGATAGTTATACAAATTGTTAAAAATAGCTGATCTGTGGGCATGGAATGACTACAGGAAGTGACTTACGTCCTCTGGTCAGTTTCTGTTGCATCTGCCAACCCCTGAGTAATAAGATAATAAAAGAAATTAAGTTGAAGAGTCATGGTAGGTCATTAATACACAAAACCGTAGGTCATGTAGTCAACTAATAACTGTACAGAACAACTGAGAAGTTTGCAGTCAGAGAATAAACTGACTTGCTGAAGGTCATACAAATACTAGATATTGGGACTATCTTTTCTATTTAATAGCTTTATTTAGATGTAATTTACATGCCATAAGTGCACCTGTTTTAAAGTATACAATTCAATGATTTATAGAATATTCAGAGTAAATATAATCTAATTACCACCATGATAGAATTTTAGAATATTTCATTCTCCCAAAAACTTTAGCAGTCCCCTCCTATTCACCCCACCCCTTCCCCTCTCCTCAGTCCTTGGCAACCACTAATGTGTTTTCTGTCGTTATAGATTTGCTATTCTGGGTATCTTATCATTTTATTTGAATGGGATCATACAAGAGATGGCCTTTTGTCTCTGGCTTATTTCACTTGGCATAATGTTTTCAAGGTTCATCCATGTTGTAACATATCTCAGTACTTCATTGATTTTTGCTAGTTGTTTTTTTTTCCAATTACAGTTGACTTACAATATTACATTAATTTCAGGTGTACAGCATAGTGATTATACATTTATATAACTTACAAAGTGATCACCCCAATCAGTCTAGTACCCATCTGCCACCATATCTAATTAGATTATTATTGACTATATTCCCTATGTTAGTACTTCATTGCTTTTTATGGCCAAATGACATATCACAGTTCGTTTATCTATTCATGAATTGATGGACATTTGAATTGTTTTCACTTTTGGCTGTTATGAATTATCTTCCATTAGCTTGTATACCAGTTTTTGTGCAGATACGTTTTCATTCCTCTTGTGTCCATTCCTTGTTGTGCAGTTGCTGGATATTATAATAAGTCTGTTTAACATTTTGAAAAACTGCCAAACTGTCTCTTAAGGTACTCTACATTCCCACAAACTGTGTGAGGGTTCCAATTTCTCCACATCCTTTAAAAAATTTACGTCATTTGTTAAATTTCAGCTGTGAAAATTATGCTTGTTTATGTAAAAACCTAGTGATCCATGTGTGTTTCTGTACATATTCAGAAACTTAATCATTTTCAGAAAGGTAGGGCTTGGCATTCCGAAAATCTTTATAGCAATTAGTAATTCACTTAAACTCAAGCTAAGGAGAATAAACATCCTAAGAAGGGATCAGTTTTGTTGCTATTCTTATTGTCAAAGCCAGTAACATTGATGGGTCTTTAGTGTATAATACATACTGTCTAGCAGTTTACAAAGGTCATTTATATACAGTATCTCTTTTAGTTCTTGAAAGTCCTCATGATACATAAATACTCAGTTAATCATTAACTTATCGCTAGTAGGTTAAACAACTTTCCCCAAGGTTACCTGGCTAATAAGTGATTGCTTTGAATTCAAACCCAGGTCTGTCTGACTCTAAAGCCAACACTTGAGCTAAAGCCTCAGACTCTAATCCTATACAGTAGTTTCTTCATTTAGTTTACTAACTCAAATTAGAGATAACTTGAGTTTTCCATTATGTCCTATAATTTAAAGTTGTTGACATTTTAGTTGCTTTTCAGTTATCTGCAATAAGACCTATTTTTATAAGAACCTAGTTATCAAAGAACTATTTTTAAATAAAATGGATAACTAGAAAATATAATGTTCAACCAATATGTAGAACTCCATAGTTCATGTTAACTGAGTTTGCCCATTTTAAGAAAATGATATTACTTCTAAGTCTGACACATTAGATGCTAAATCATAATATTTTTTCTTCCTCTTACCAGATTATGGAAAGAATTATGGATCTACCCACTTTACTGAGACATGCATTCAGGGAAATGTTTTCAGTCGGGGGCCTTTTCTGGATGTTCCGTATCAGGATAATACTTTGCTTAATGGGAGCTTTTTTCTATCTTATATCACCTCTAGATTTTGTACCTGAAGCCTTGTTTGGAATTCTAGGCTTTTTAGATGATTTCTTTGTCATCTTTTTGTTGCTTATCTACATCTCTATTATGTATAGAGAAGTGATAACACAGAGACTAAACAGGTGAAAAAAAGAGTTTACTAAAATAGGAGCTATTGTGTAAAATCAAACAAAAGGGACCCATGGCAGTATAAAACATTTGAACATTAGCTCACATACTTAAAACCACTGTCTGACAAACATGTCATTATCATTTGGCAAATACCTAGCAATATATGACTGGAATTTTTACATGTTGCAGGTTCTAATATTGAAGTTAGAATTATAATAATTTATAGCTGTATCTTGACTGTGTTGTCTATAAAGTCTCTGGAAAGAACATGGAATTATATAAAAGGGATGCTTTTTTATATCTTTTTCTTTTCCCAAAAATTACTCAGATTAATTGGATGTATAGTAAGATATTGTTAAATGTACACTTTATCCAATTTTTCCTTCTCAGTGCTAATATATTGCAATGAGATGCATCTAAATATTTTTGTTACAATAAAATGTTGCACAGTATTGAGGAAAAGCCAGTGTTTCCTTTAGTACTAGCTAAGTTTTGTGCATTTGGAGCAGTTCTGCTTTTCCATTCTGATGTCTTTCTTATCAGCTGCAAGTGAACGAAGAAACTTGAACTTTATAATCTGATTTCACTTTCTGGTTTCCAGAATACTAGAAGAATTAACAACATGTAGACATTCATCTCCAGTCAGCATACTTATGTTCTCAGTTATGGCATTTAAGCAAGCGTTTGGTCCTTTCACAGGAACAGTATATCAAAGGAATTTGTAAAGGGAATGTTTTTTCAGGAACCTGGGTGATACTTCAGACATGTAGTTTGATGCATTTTTGAGGAAAGTGGTTCTTCATGGCTTGAGTATCAAAGACTTAGAACAGTACAAGGAACGATTTAAATATGACAAGAGAAATTACTGGTGAGCCAGAGTAACAGAATGGACAGATTTGGTTAGTTTTCTCTTGACAGGAAACTTTCAATACTGTCTGTAGATGGCAGCAGATAGCCCAGATTCATCAAGTATTGTGCAGAAGGAGCAAATGTTGGAGGTGGTTGATAAGGAGAGTTATCTTGGTTTATTTAATGGCTACAGCATAAGTATCGAATGCTCTTTTCTGCAGTTGTCTGTCAGAGAAGAACCCAAACCACAAGTACTATGAAATCCTAACTCCCTCAGCTGGTACTGCTCATTAGCAAAGTGGACAGGACAGCAGGGTGGCGCTGATGCCCAGGGATGTTAGCTCTGTCACCTGTAGTCACTGATAGTCATATTGTCCATTCACGTATTAGTGAGCCTATGTATGGACAGGCAAAAAAAGAACAAATCTGTCACAGTCTCCCAGGTTAACCAGATTAGCCATAAACTAATAAGATCCTGAACAAAATGTCAAAAATAGTGTTTTCTAATTTGAGCCTAGGACAAAGCTGTTGCTTGTCAGAGAGAAAATGATAATGCTTAAATATAGCACATTGTAATTAAAGCAACTTCTTCCATATTCTTCATTTTATCCTTAAGACAGCATGTGAATAAGGCAGGGCATTGTCTTCCTTTTCATAGGTGAAATCCCTGTGTTACAGATGACAGTATTTTTGTCTGAAGCCACGCACAAACAAGTGACTAGACTGGTGTTAGACTCACTAACTCCTGCATGGGTTCAGATAAATGTGAAGGTTATTACCAAGGGGCAAAGCTGGAGAGAAACTGGGGTCCTTGGAGTCTTTTGGGACACACTGGAGTAGGATAGCTTAGGTGCACCTAAGAGGAGAAGTACAGAAAGATGACATATCAACACTTCATGAACCATAATTCTGTACTTCCAAATCAAACGTCTAATTGGGTGGCATACTTCACAGAAAAACATTTCGGCTGCATTTACCAACTTAAAAAGCTAATGAGTAGGAGTTTGTTACACAGACTAGAAATGCATTTCCTACCAATTACAGATTTGGTGTGGGCTATATAGCAATGTCATTTTTGAAAGGATTTTATTTCCTGTGCATATGTTCTGCTTCAAGTGTCACATTTCTAGTTACAATAATTTCATTGTAATATTTGGAATTCCTTGTAAGTCTTTCCTGGTAGAGGTGTATTGTACCAACTTTTGTAACATACAGAAACATTGTATGATCTGAAGTCTTGTTAAATTGAAAAGGGAACATGTGGACATCTCATAATTTTAGACTATTATGTCATCTGTATTGATCACTGATAATTGTAGACAGTATCTGAGAAAATATTTAAAGCAAGTAGAGTCAATCAATGTTTTAAACATAGTAATACTTCTATAATTCTTAAGAGTGAGATTATATAAATCAAAGCAACAATTTGGATTTTTGTAAACAACAATATTGTAACTTTCACAAAAAGACGGTCCAACCCCAGGAGCAGGCCTATGGGAAACAATACGGAGGAAACAACTGTTCTCACTGCCTACTAGAACAGTGGTTTCAGCTGCTGGTTCTCTGCCTCTGAAAGCAACAAGGGAAGACAAGACTGTGTTGGTCCCTGTGGCTGTGCAGATACCTACCTCACAGAGTTGCTGCAGAGGATTTACAGTTTGGTTCAAACTTTGTGATTTAAGAATTTGTGAAACTTATTCTTTTGAATAAAAGCAATATATCTAAAATTAGAAAGTAGCTGTTATTTTCCTGTTTCTTTGATAGTGTTTGTTTTAAAATTCAGAACTCCTGAAATAGCATTCAATATAATGTTTGCAATGGCTTTCTTTTTTCACTAAATGGACATTCAATATCTCATCACATTTCTAATTAATTTTCCTTAGATGTGTGTGTTTTTTTAATTTTTAAAAAATATGTATCTTTATTGATTTCAGAGAGAGGAAGGGAGAGGGAGAGAGTGAGAGAGAAACATCAATGATGAGAGAGTCATCATTAATCAGCTGCCTCCTGCATTCCCCCCACCGGGGATTGAGCCCACAACCTGGGCATGTGCCCTGACCGGGAATCAACTGCGATCTCCTGGATCCTAGGTTGATGCTCAACCGCTGAGCCACGCCTGGCTGGGCTCCTTAGATGTTTTTAAATTTAAAAAGTAGAAATGTTTTTGTTTTTAAGGAAAATTAATCTGAGTAATCTATATTAATTCCAGATGAGAAGAATGGAATTGAAAGTAGAGATTACCCTGATTTCCCACCTCTATTTCTTTTGGGTGTATATTTGATAAATGACCTTTTCTGAGTCTGTGCCCTTATGTCTGCATCAACACTCATTCCCTTCTCTCTGAAACACTAAATGTACTCCAGGCTTTTCTGTTTTGCTAAACAGCAGCCCAAACCTGGGACTGGGTCAGAAAAGGAAGGGGCACTCAAGGTCTGAAGGCCCTCAGACTTGTCTCTCAGAACCAGGCCAGAAGCTTCAAGGGCTGCTGACAGTCACAGAGCTAAAGACAATCATTGAGATTTTGTTGTTCTGTCAGAACCAGACCATTTTCATGGCATCGATATTTGTTATAAGCATTTAGTCCTTGAATGCAAGCACATTTGATATGTCGTTAGTCACTTCATCCATCTGTAGTCATGACGGGCCCTATCTCAGGTGGGTGCACGAGCGGAGTAAACACTTAGAATACACTGAGTGTTCGGATACTTTCCTTACTGTCTCTATTAGACTAGTGGCTTTAGCTGTGGGCTTTTTGAGGGGAATGTAATATGGGATGTAGGAGAGGGCTAAGGGCAAAAGATGTTTTAAACTCACTGGTATCTAATAGATTTTAATTTGTTTAAAAACACAAAGTTCTTAAAAACTATTTGAAGATACCAGATATTCAGATCAAATATTCACCCTTCTAATTGGTCTTAGGGAAAACCTATAATTTATATCTCCATGAAAATTAATCTTGTTTCACTAATCCTAGAATACTGGAGACATAAGGGTCCTTACAAATCGGCTGGTGTTTGTGTTTTCTCTGTGAAAATCAGATGAAAGCTATGGGTAGCTCCCGAGAAAAATGCGTATATACACACGTATGTGTACTTTGGATTCCTTTTCAGGGGAGGCAAGAGCTGAACATTCCTGGATTCCAAATTAAGAATTCCTCATTTAGCCCTACAGCCTTACTCCACAGATGAAGATGAGGACCAGAGGGAATGAATGCAAAGGTATTTAAATAAAAACTGTTTATAGACAAATGTAATTGGATAGAAATTAAAATCTAAACTGTTAGATATCAGTGAGTTTAAAAATATCTTTATCCCTTAGCCCTCTCCTGTGTCAAAACAAGTGGCCTATTCTTCTTGTTTATCAAACAAGATAAAGTTTATCCTAGAATAATTGTTACAAAACTTACTCTTTTAATGTCAAGATTAAAATTTTTTTTCCTTGAAAAGTGTTATAATAGTAAGTGAATTAGACTTTGAAAAACATCAAACTTCTAACTGCCCTTCTTCAGTTTATCCCTATGTGATACTGTCTTTCCCTCAAATAGTCACAGAACACATTCCCTTTTGATACTTACGGAAGGGGTTAAATGAGATCAAGTGAACACATATAAGCGTTCTCTTAAAAAGGCGGTTTTGCACATCGTTTGTGGCCTTTGCTTAAGCTGTTTATTTAGAGAACATCAAAAATTTTATAAATCGGTAAAGGTCGTCACCACGAAGTGAGCCGTCTCACCACCCTTCCCTCGGAAGGCTCCTCACCACCCTCCCGGAAGCCCCTCGCGGCCCCCCGCGGGGAAACCCCCCGAGTTCCGGTTTGCCTACTTCTTCGTTCCTCTACGAAACCTCGAACCGTAGTACAACTTTGTCTGACTTACTAAACACTATGTGAGAACCGTTTATAGCGCATGGGCCATAGCTTCTGTTTTGGTTGCTACATAGTATTCCATGGTAGGACTCCACCACGATTTACACAGTCGGCCCTTAACGGGTATTTGGGTTTCTACAAATCGTATGATCAGTGGCCGCTCTTTTAAAGAAATCGGCGCAATAACCCAACGAGCTCAGCTTTACCCCTGTCCTTCAAGCCAGCAGACCCAATAGAAAGTATTGTTCTCCACGCCAAACCGCCCCTGAAAAATGAACGGAAGGAAAGCACCGGCGGCGGAGACGAACCCTACAGCTCCCCGCCGCTCCTCCCCTTACACAGATCCTTTCTCCCTTCCGGAAGGTCGAAGGCCCGCCCACTTCCGCAACGCCGAGCCCGCCCTACCACGGGCCTCAACCAATGGCCTGCTTCCCAGTGAACGTTACTTCTGACCTCAACACTAATCAGAGAGAGCAAGAGGAACTCCTCGCGAGAGGTGAGGTTGAAGCTGCCTCCGCCATCTTGGAGATGGGAGACGAGGGATGGTTGTGGTCCTCCTGCTAATGCAAACAACAAAACGGGCACATTAGGCACCTCCGACTGAAGCTATCATCACTGTAATTGTTGGCCAAAGCTACAGAAGAAGCGAGGGTGTCAAAGCCGAGAGCGGAGACTTCGGTAACAGCTTCACCTGCCTGCCGAGGCGGCAGAAGTGAAACGACTGACGACCGGAAGGATGGTGCAGTCCTGTTCCGCCTACGGCTGCAAGAACCGATACGACAAGGATAAGCCTGTTTCTTTCCACAAGTAAGTACCCCTTCCCCCTGCTCGTGCTGGGGGCGCGCGGCCGGTTAGGCTCGCGGGGCGGAGCCAGGCGCGTGTCCGCGCGAGACCTAGAGAGAGGGGCGTCGGCAGGGGCGGGGCGCGGCCNNNNCGGGCCGCTGGCGCCCGGCGCACTCGCCGCCTGCCGTTGGCGGATTCCGGGCCGCGCGGGCAGTGCCAGGAGGCCCCGCTGGCTGTGAGGGCCCCAGGCCGAAAGGCAGCTGGGTTTCACCGCCAGGCTGTAGAGGAGCCAGGTGGTAGCAGCTCTTTAGAAGTAAATCTGAAGTAAAAACAGACCTATAAAAAAAACGGAAGTCACTCTTTTTCGCCCTTGCTGTGACCGGGAGGCCGGCATCACCAAGGCGTGGCTTTTGGCCAGGCTCTAGGGACAAACTTTAAGGACAGTTTCCGGTACTGCTAAGATGAGTAGTTGATGTTTTCAGCGCACAATAGTGATAACAGCGCAGTGATAATACGGACGTGATGAAGGCCATAGTAAAGGTCGATGCGCGCTCTTTCGGGCGCCCGGAGGAAGCCCGTGGAGAAGAACCCGCCTCCGCATCTTCCAGGACTTTTATCCAAAAGGCGCTGCAGTCAGAGCCTTGGAGGAAAAATGTTCTCTTGGGAAAATACCGCAAAGTGAAAATGACTTCATGATAATCAAATATCTGCGAAGTGTGACACAATGGCATTTTTATTCAGCTAAATTCAGTGCATTATTTACAAATTTTCTTGCATTTACATTAATTTTTTTTTTGCAAGAGTTCCCGACTATAAAGATTGGTAGCTAAGAAATTAGAACCAGTGGTAAGTTACATGAATTATTCATAGCTAAATAATCACACAAGCAAAATGTTAAGTATTCTTTAAGTTTTTCGGTGGGGGTCATTTCTGTTGAGCGGATGTGGGTGCATTTTTATGTTTTTGATCTGGTATGAGCGGGACGCACAGAAACGAGCGCCTGCCGCACGGAGGGCTCGCGTGTTGGCGCTGCCCTCTGCCGGGAGGGGGTAGAACAGCACTTCCGGGGTCAGCCCAACATACCCTAGTGGTCACCTCTTGATTTATTGGAATTTCTGAAAGCCAGTGAATGGACCTCTCCAGTGTAGGAATCGGTCGAGATGGTGGGTGACATGATCACCTTTGTTCAGCCCTCTGCCTCTCCGTTCTAAAGAATGGCAGAAGGAATCTAAAAATACGGAAAACCCTTCATTGGCGCTGGGAACTAGTTAGAGATGAACGTTCACCCATCAGAAATACTGAGGTTCTGCTGGCTGTTAATTCATTGAATCGAAAGGAGTAACTCTCATCATTTTGAGAGTAGATGGGAAAGATCTTGACAGAACCTCAAAAACAACCTGAGCACTTGTAGCTCTTGAGTCAGAAGGCCCCAGGGTGCTGAAGTTTACCAGTGATTGTTACCATGGTTTGCACTTGTAGAGGCCATTTCTAGCAAGGATCTCCTAGGACTACTTCTTTCCCCAGTTTCTACGCGGTGGCAGTGGGGATCCATTAGGTCATCATGATAATAGCAGAGTCAGGCTATCTAGCATACCTTTCATGGGAGAGAAACTGGAACATACATTAGAAACATCCTTCTTTGGCTTCTTTCCAGTCCCCCCAGCTTACTAAATCCCTGACCCAGAAAAATAAAATCACAATAAATTTAAACTCTTTCTACATCCCTTTATCTGGGCTTAATGGATATATTTCAGTAGATTAAGAGGTAAATAAAAATAAATAATTTTTAATTTCTTTATCATTGCTATTTAACTATAATTTGATTAATTCATATTTGTCAGGCTGATTCTAAGAGAACTAGAAACTTCTTTTTCTCAGTCTCTAAATATAAACATGCAATTTTGTTTTACAGTACACAGAAAATCACCTGTAAAAATAATTAATACGGATTCACCCTATAGTATGCATTTTACTTGAAATTTTTAGTGTCTTCAATATAAAAAGTATAACAATAATAAATGAGATAGATTAGAGAGCTACACAGTTTACCCTTGTGTATTTAGATATGTGTGGAACTACTGTATCTTTTAGTGAAAGTTACTATAATGGAGGGGGGGAAACAATATTACGCATTTGGGCCCTCCACTCCAAACCTTTTTCAGCTACTTTTCCCACTGCATGAATCAATCAACATGGCTTACTTTTAATATGTATATTTTTACATTCTGTAAATTCGTAATTGGTCTGTCTCATTTAGATTGTATATGTTACTATATCTGACATTCTTATAAGTATTGTGTGATCAGTAAGATTTCTAGAGAAATGCTGCTTTAAAAAACACACACAAAAACACCATGCTGGGAGAGGTGACTTACATCCCACATTAGTGAGTGGTCACTTTATTTGTAGGATCTTTAAAACAGGCACATTTTAAGTGAACTAGAGTGAATAAAGGCACAGTGAATTACCAAAAAAAAAAGCAGAACTAGAGTTTTAATCAAATACTCCTTAGCATGCTAACACCAATGTAAGGTGGTTTTTTCCTAAGCAGGGAAGTTTGGATGTGCTTTTTTTTTTTAAATAAGGTCAGAGAACTGAATTATATCATTTTCTTAGGTTTCCTCTTACTCGACCCAATCTTTGTAAAGAATGGGAGGCAGCTATCAGAAGAAAAAACTTTAAACCCACCAAGTATAGCAGTATTTGTTCAGAACACTTCACTCCTGATTGCTTTAAGAGGGAGTGCAACAACAAGTTACTGAAAGAGAATGCAGTGCCCACGATATTTCTTTGTACTGAACCACGTGACAAGGTAATATGTGTTTTAAAATACTGGCTTTTCTCCCATTTTTAAAATTAATATTTATTGTGGAAAATTCATAGTAGTATCAAGAAAATAAATGTTACCTGGAACTACTACTTATAAATAACCACTGTTAACAGTGATATACTTTTAAAAAATACAAAATGTAATTTATTAAAGTTAAATATCCTCACCTTAAGAAACTCAGTCAAGCTTTGTTATTTAAGATCACTCTGTACTCCTACTTGTATGTTGATCAGTTTTGGTTTTTCTTTATTGGTGACAGTTCAGTTTCAAAGTACTTTTCCCCTCAGTTTTAAATACTCAGTAGTTCATTAAATTTTATTAATCATTCTGTCTCTTTCTTCCATCTCATTTCTACTTCAGGTAGGAAAATATAATTAAAACTTTAAACTATTTCCTCATTTTGGAATTTTTTTAACCAAGCTTCATTTAAAAAGTCTGATATTCCTAAATTCCACAGATGAATTCTTTTAAACTGTTATTTCCAGTTATTAAATTCAAACATACTTTGCATTATTGTTTTAGAAGGAAGATCTGGAGCCACAAGAACAGCCTTCCCCACCTCCTTTAAAACCTCCCATTTCCCAGGTTGATGCTGCTATTGGATTGCTAATGCCTCCTCTTCAGACCCCTGATAATCTCTCAGTTTTCTGTGATCACAACTATACTGTGGAGGATACAATGCACCAGAGAAAAAGGATTCAAGAGCTAGAACTGCAAGTTGAAAAACTCAGAAAGAAGCTCAAGACTGCACAGCAACGATGCAGGAGACAAGAACGACAGCTTGAAAAATTAAAGGAGGCCATACACTTCCAGAAAGAGAAAGACATACCAGAGAGAGGTTTTGTGTTTCTCCCAGAAAACTACTTTGAAATAGTTGAAGTACCAGTATAGAAAAAATGAAATTTGTATTGGTTTTTAATAGGGCAATACCACATCCCCTCTTCTAGCCTATAAAGGAGTTTTGTTTGGAAAAATAGCACTTGATTACTTGTATAAAAACAATTCAGAATATTTTTTTAAAATATAGATATATACTGTAAAATTGTTAATTCTTTTGTTTGTAATTTTGGGGTTTATACATTTTAACAAAATATTTTTAAAGTTATAAACTAACCTCAGAGCTGCAGTGTAAGTTGGTTTCAAGACTGAGGGTTTTTGTTTTTTAATTTGAACATTTATAGAAATGTGAAAATAAAAAGAATGAGAACAGTACAGTAAGGATGATTTAAGTTGAAAATTTAAAATTAACTTAGTTTATTGAGAGAACTTAGTTATATTTTAAATCAGAAGATGGGTTAGATAGTGGGACATAACTTCTCAGAATATATATAATCTTACAAATTTTTATTTGTAAAGTCAGAAGGTTCACTTATCTTCCTTGATCACTTGTCAAAGATAAAGTGGCAAGTCAATACTTTAAAAAAAGATAGGATATCATCAGAGCAGAAAATGAAGAATGGATTTTTAAAAAGTGGGCCCCTCTTTTTTGCTCCACTGTCTAGCATTATAAAATTAAAAGTGTGTCTGCAGTGGAAGAAACTCTAACAAAGTAGGCATTGTCATCAATGAAGTAATAAAAATGTGGCCTGATCCATCGTCTGCCTTTTTCTCTCATTACCCCTGAGCAAGTAAGGGACAGCCAGTTCCCCCAACTGTAGTTATATTTGCATCCAAATCTCTGACAGATATGTTGTGTCAGTAAAGTTTGATTTTTACCCTAATGTGGTAATCTTGAACTTGACTAATTGATTTTGGTCAGGGTTTCACATAAAAAATGATTTCTTCACTTTTAACACAAATTAGAAATTATATCCCATTTACTTACATGATTTGTATTCAAAAGCAACCTAATATGTAGCATTTCTTTTCCCGAATGTTGAGATTTAAACACTGAGGTTTCTGTTCAAACTGTGAATTGTATTCTGACTGTGATAAATTTTCATATATTTGAAGTGAAATCTGTTCTGAGTAAACAAATACTGCCATAGTACTTATCTACTTAGAGTAACTGTTTCAACTATAATTATTTTAAATTTCAAAGTACACTGAGATAGTGGAAGAGTGACAGACCTTTTAAGGCAGTATTAAAGATACGAAACGCTGTTCAAAAGTGTTTTTTGTGGACCTGTTTTTCAGTGTAATTCACTGCAGTGCTGTCAATAGATAGTACTTTGATTCATGGAGATTGGATTTTTAATGAACCAGTATTTCAAAAACAATGTTTTGATTAGAAGATTACTTGAAGTTATGTAGTCTGGTAATATTTAGAACTAACTTTAATGAATCAGCGCACTTTTTCCAGTTGTAAAGTCTCCTTTTCATCTCTCTGGCAATTCTTGGAGGATATGTGAGTAAATATTTTGCCAAAGTATATATATTTTTATCTAAGTTGTAATCTACATAAAAGAGAATCTGTGTGTGTGTCTCCAGAACCAAGAATCCAACATTGAATTGTAAAAGTGGTAATAATAATTACTAAGCATCTTAGCATTATGACTTAACCTGAAACTATTTTCTTTTCATAACAGACATAAATCCATATTTGGAGAGAACTGAGCAAGAAACATGTATACTAACTGTTGGCATATAAATAATTTATCCTAGTTTAACAGATTTTGAGGTACAAGTGCTTATTTCTGAATTTGAGATGTAACATTTGCTGAATGTTTTTAAATTCGTTTTGTGTATTATTTATGACATTGCCAAGAAAAGGAGAACATTTAGGCTAAAATAAGTCCTGTTCAAGCATTATGAAACTCATCTGAAACAGGGACAAGGTCTCAATCTGAAACACTTGGGGAGAGGACTCAGGAACAGCATATTCTGAAAGGTAACATTTATTTTAAGCACATATAGTAACATACTAAAATATACACCTGTGTGTGATATAATCTGGCAATAATGGTGAGAAGAAATAATTGTTTCTTAATAGAACTTCTAGGAAAACGATAGATTCTTAGAATTTTAGAATTAGAAGCGACTTAGAAATCATTGAACATTAGCCCAACCTCTAAACCTTGACGAAATTTCCTTGTAAAATATCTCCAACAGTGGTCATCTGTTCTCTGTTTGCCGTTTACATTTAAGGAATCCTGCTTAGATTCTTTAAAATGGGTTTTGGGAGTAGAATAGAATTAGTTGCCACTATTTATACTTGTTTATAGTACAAATATAAACTTCACTTTGAACTGCTGCCTAGTTTGAACTGTCAAATTCTAAATTACGGAAGTTTTAAATTTTTGTAAAATAATTTAAATGTTTAGTAATTGTATACCTGTCATGTGTGCTAAAAATATTTCTGTCATTGCAGTAAAGAAACGGTGTATAAAATTATTAGCAAAACTTTTTTTTTTTTAATATATCTTTATTGATTTCAGAGAGAGGAAGGGAGAGAGAGATAGAAACATCAATGATGAGAGAGTTGTCACTGATTAGCACATCCTCGATGGGATCGAGCCCGCAACCCAGGCATGTGCCCTGACTGAGAATCGAACCGCAGTCTCCTGGGTCCTAGGTCGATGCTTATCCGCTGAGCTGAGCCATTCCCAACCAGGCTTAGCAAAACTTTTTACTTGGAAACCCAAGTACATGAGATTGTTTTCCTTCAAACTTTCACTTGATAGGGACTTTTTTAGGTTAAATTAATATTCTCTGATCATCTTTAGTTATCAAAAAAGTTATACATACATACACATACCCAACAATTATGGCTTTTATAAAACCAGTAGTAAGGTGACATAAAGTAATGTATTTAAAAGTACACATCATCTGTAAAAAGCAAACTGCATTTGTGTTCCAGAATTTTGGAAAGCTAGCCAGCCATGAGCAGCAATGAAGTTGAGAAAGGTGAACAGATGGGCCTACTTGGCTATTACTCTTCCTAGTATTGCGGAGTGAATTGGGTGACCAGTGAGTGAGGAGCATTGCTCTTGTCCGATGGTAACTTGTGTTTCTGAGCATTATGGTTTAATGCAGTTGTATATTAAAATGCAATCCTTGATGTGAAAGAAAAAGAGCAAACAGTGATTTGCAGACAAAAAAGCAATTATAATTATTGTACTTAAAATAACAGAAAAGTTTGCTCAAAGTAATGTCCTCTTACAGTTCCATGTCTTGATATCATTTTTACCTTGGATGTGGTTTTCTTCTGAGATATTTTTCTTGGTGATAAATATTTTTTAAACTTTAAAAATCTGTTGAGAATTTTTATTTTCTAAATTCATAGGATTTTGGGTTCTGATATCAGATATCCTAAGGGATATGAATAAACTTTCATTGTTTTGAACTATTTTTGGTGAGACAAACTACAATATTAATAAAGAGACCTGACTTCTGGAATGGCTACATGAGGAGCTGTGACCAGCTCCCCTCCATACCTACCATAACTGGTGAAAGAAATTTCTTTTCTTTAAACAACCGTTTAAAGTCCGCATATGGTCCTAAGGGTATATAACAAATGAAACATTCAGGAAAACCTATATCTGTGTAAGAACATTAAAAATTTGTGGCACTTAAGCCACAACCTATTCTCTCCCTCCTCCCCCTCCCCACCCTACACCAAACACACAGCTCTACTACAGTAGATCCACTCTGAGTGGAGGTATGTATGGCCAAGAAGACAGTGCTCCCTCTCTTCCCAATCAAGGATATGGTATCTTTGGGTGGCAGACTGCCAGTTTTTCTCTGGCCCCTCTAGCTTTGTGTTGCAAGGCTAAACTCCATAAGTGCAGCCAAGAGGTCAGGATTCCCTTTTCCCAACCAGCTCCCACTCATAGGATGGAGGCTCTATCCCAGATACAGCTGGCCGAGAATACTGGGACCGTGATTGCCTTTCACTGGCTTGCTTATAGGGTAAAGTTTCCATGCCAGAAGCGCCAACCAAAGAAGACTAGTGGCTTCCATACTAATTGTGCTCATAAAGCTGGCATATCAATCCTAGAGAAGCAGGTCATGGTTCCTACTCCCAGCAGCAGAAAAGTGACACACTTTTTTCCCCAGGGAGTGGCAGCCCAAAAGAACCAGGAGCTCTGAAGCTCTTCCCAAAGGAACTGATTTGGAAGAGGGGGGCGGGGTAAGTTCAAGACTGAGGGTGCACTAAAAAACAATGGAATTTAGTGGTAAGCAATTAGGAGGCTGGTAGCTCCCCTAACACAACAAGCTAAATTAACTATTAGACAACCAGGGAGAGGTAAGAGGCCCTCCTGCAGTCAAAACAAGCCTCAAAGACTACCTCTCCAAAAGGGCCCAACCAAATCTAATTCAATCAGATTGCAGAGCAATTTGTGCCCCAGGGCATCATCAAAAACAGCAATCAACTGGCAATTGAAGCTAAGATCTGACTGTGATACCAATTAAAGCAGATAGGTCTAACAGAAAACAGGAAAATATTCAAAGAAAGGCCTGTTAAAACTTCATCCTGGTGACTATGCATACTCACCTATGTACCTTCTAAGGAAATCAGAAGTTTCTCAAGCAAAACTGGAAGCCAAAAAAACATCCTGTAAACCAAGAACCCAATATATTTCAAAACTGCCCTTCACAAGTGAGAGAGAAATTGTTACCGTTGTGATTAGCTAGATAATAATAGGAAGAAAGCAAAGGGAAGGCCAGACATCATAAGCTTGGTCATCTGGGCAGCGTCACCAGGAAGCTGCAACTTTACACTTCCCAAGCAACCACTAATCCACTCCCTGCAAATCACAGGGGGAAAGGGGTCCAAAAAGGGACGAAGGGTGCATGCACAATGAAGTCGGGGTGACATAGGGAAGGTGCTTGCCCGTCAGTCTAACCTGGGAAAAAGGTAATTGGCCAGAGGGGTGGAGCCAATGCAAGCACACAAAATCCTGAAGGCTTAATTGGTTAAGCTCCTAGTTATAACCCAGAGACAAAGAATTCTTGATCTCTTGCTTTTGCCTCTGTTTCTCACTTGTTCTGACACACCCTCGCCCTGGGCTTCCAGTGCCGTGTTGCCTTAAGCAGCCACATGACCAATGGCCATGCAGACCCCACACACAATGGACTGCGGCTGGGAACACAAGCTAAACTGGCCAGATGCTAGACTGGACTGTTCTTTAATATGGAGCAAAGACTCTGGACAGTGGCTTTAATTCTAGCTCTGCTGAAGACAAAATGGGACTTTTTCCATGGTGAAACGGGAAATGGGACCTTGGAGAACTCCCTTAATGTTACATCACCAATAAAGCTTTCC